AGCTAAAAATTAAATAGCTAATTTTAGGCTGATTTTGATACTATTTATGATTTATTGGTTATATTTTCTGATTATCCTTTAAATATTTAAATCACCGCTGATTGATTCAATCAGACATAATCATTTAATATCAATTTAGTATTTAAATTCAATTATAAATTAATCTAAATTTAATCTCAATTCAATATTAATTTAACATTAATTCAGAATTTAAATTCAATTATAAATTAACCTAAAATACTACAATCAACTCCAATCAAATAAGCAATTTAATTATAAATTAGTTCTAATTAAACAAGCAATTTAACATCAATTTAAAACTTAAATAACCATAAATTAGCCTAAAATTAGTCTTAATTCAGTCAAATAAACATATAAAATTAATACATTTTTATTTAATTAAATTTATTAAATATTAAAATTTTATTAGAATAAAATCTAATATAAATTCACAAAATCATAATAAAATATTACCAAAACTTATTGATTAAGTTCTTATTAAAAATAGAATAATAAAATAATAATATAATAATAAAAATATAATTTATTTTTTTCTAAAATTCCTTGAAATCATCCTAATATAACATTACTATTATTTAAATATTTAAATAATATAAAAAATAAAAAATTGATATCAAATTTATCTAAAAAAATGCAAATTTAATACTCCATTCTATTAATTTATCCCAAATTTTAAGGTTTTACAAAATTTTTAGTTTTTTCTGAAATATCAAAAAATAATAAATAAAATAATAGAAAAAAAAAAAAAATCAAAACCAAAAATTTTCTAAAAAAAGTAAAGAATGATAATAAAATAATAAAATTAACTTTTTTTACTGAATCATCAAAAAAAAGTAAAAAATGATAATAAAATAATAAAATTAACCTTTTTCACTGAATCATCAAAAAAAGTAAAGAATGATAATAAAATAATAAATTTGAATTTTTCTTCATTCTAAAATCATTTAAAAAAAATAATAATAAATTGTAAAAATTGATACTCCTCCTGAATCACCTGAAAAAATGTAAATATTTCTTTGTTTAAACCTATATATCCATCTATTAGCATATTTTACTTCATTTTCAATATTTAATTTTTTTGCAAATTCCAATCCTTTTTGCTATAATATCATATCAGTTAAAAGAACTCCTGCTGCTATTACTTGTGAAGTCCAAATTTGCATAGCTTTATTAAATAATGGAAATTTAGAAAAATGTTATTTAAAGGTATTTGAAGTTTGTAAATTAGGAAGAACAGCTAACCATTTTTCATAATTTTTCCAAATTTTATTAATGGTTGTTCTATCAACATTTAAATTGTATTTGATATTAAAAAAAAAAGTAACTAAAGTTTGTTTTATACCAGAGTTAGCTATTATATATTCACATATTTCTTTTTTTATATTTATACTAATAGTAGTATGTTTTCTTTTTTGCAAGTTTGTAAAACCTGTAGATAACATTACTAACCATAAAAAAACACGAAAAAATCATGAAATTTACTTTGTAATTAATTCTGATATCACGTAATATAATTATATAAAGGAATTTTTATTATATAAATTATTATCTTTATATTACAAATTAGTATGACAGTGATTATAGTGTGATTGTAACTATAAAGAGGTGTTTTCTATTTAAAAAAATCAGGACCAAAAGTTATTGTGACTATAGTGAAGTGTGATTACATAAGAGGTGACTATAACAGGAATAACTGTATTTCACTAGCATCCAGAGTTATATTTATTCGACTAGCTACTACATATCTATGAAAATCTCTAAGAAAATTGTTTAGATCTTCTCCAGGACGTCCATAAAATATTGGAAGTTCATAATCAACCATTCCTATTTAATATATATTAAGAGGATTATTCTGTAATACTAAAATTTGTCCTTGCAAATTTAAAATATTTTGGCGTTCTGCTTGAGTCTTATTTTTTTATTTCTCATATCGCTCATAGAGTCTATCTCTATTATATTCTAACAAACTTCTATCCACTCTACATTACTGTAAATGGTGAGTATTTTGTTAATATAATAGCCGAAAGGCAAAATTTTCTCGTAATAATTCATTAATATAGGCTTGTTTTTTTGCTATATTATCTATTATTCTATTTACTTAGTTTTAAGCATTAGTTTGATATTGCTAAGTATTAGTTCGCAATTGATGAAAATCAGTAATAACTCTTTATTCTACTTCTTTAGCAAGTTATCTTCGTATAATTTTATTATTACGCTCAGCTTCTGCATCATAATGATTTCTCTGCTTTCAGACTATATCCTGATGCAGATTATTTTCTTTTCAATGAATTTGCCTTGTTGCTCTTTTTATTTGATCTATCAGAATATCTCTAGCCGTTACCCTATTATTCAAATAAACATCTATAGCATTTGTTAGCTTAGTGATTATGATTATATTATCATCAGAATTATATAAGTCTGGAGAATTCTCTCGTTCAGGTGAATTTTTCTATAATAAGATAGTCTTGATCTGGTATTGCAATTTTTCCACCTGCTCTTCAGACTCTACCAACCGATTTTTTAAAGTAGAAATATATTTTTCTCTATTTTTCACATTCTTCTTAGCTTGATATAGCTGAGATTTTAGAGTAGAGATTTCAGATTTCAGTTCTGATATTTCTTCTTCTAAAGTATTCTCAAGACGTTCTATTTCCTTATTAAGATCCTAAATTTCTTACTCATCACAGGTATATTCACATTCCAGCTCTCTGATCTGCTTTTTATTCTAATGATTACTATCAACTTCTGTTTACAATTCACTATGAAGATGAAAGTTTTTCACTTTCAGCTCAACTTATGTTCTTCTTTGCCTTAGGTAAGGTCTGTGAAATGCCATTCTTTTTTGATACTATAAAAAGAAAAATGAAATGAGCCAACCGCAAATTATAATAAATTTAAATAAAGTTTAGAGAATTGAAAAAAATATCATATTGCATGAAATATATTATCGTCTAATCAGATATTATTTTAATCCCAAATTCTTAAGAAATGCGTGTAAAAAAGAAGGGCATCAATTTCCCCTAAGTGAATGCAAAGATTTTTTAGAGAATCAAGAGTCATACCAAACTATAAAACCTCTTCAAAATACATTCCTAGAATTAGTTATAGACAAATAACACACTCTAACTGTGTATACCAGTACGATATACTTTTTCTCACTATAGAGGTAAAAAATATAAAGCAGTATTTAGCTAAAAATCTTAATTTTTTTATTATACTTTTGATACACTTTTGATATACTTTTAATATATTTTTGATATGTTTTTAATATATATCATCAATTATTAAAATTATGTTATTTAAGCTTATAATTTCATCTTAAAATAATGTCAAAAAATTGAAATAGTTTTATAATAGTTTTATAGTTGATTTTTAATAATTTTATAATTGATTTATAATATAATTATAATTATTTTTTTTTATTATATATATATTATACAGCTGTATAATAAAAAACATTATATATATAATACAAGTTCATTTTGTCATATTTTCTATTATGATAATCTGATTTTTGACATTGATATACAAAATGCACATTTGATTGATGATCTACCTATCTAACTACATAAATTCGATGCTAAGTTTGATCTGTTAATCTTTGAAGTCTATATCGTGAATATCCTAATTTTAAATCATAACATTCTAATAAAATAATCTAATTTAGTAATAAAAAAGGAATATGTAAATGATTTTTTATATGAATAAAAATTGCCTAAATTTGTGCATATGAAATTACTGTCTTTGGATTATTCAATATATCATTTGATATATTTTTTAAAATATTCACAATATCGCTAACATGAAAGTTTACATCTACTTAATCATCATTATCAACTATAGTATAGCTAATACTATTAAAATATTTTACAGTTTGTGATATAAGATGTTTAACGCAACCAAATTCTTCTTTATATGCGTATCTAAGTTTAGCAAATAAATCATCAAAGAACTTTCTCAAAGCCAGCAGTTTGTAGGTTATTCTTGTTATATACTCCTCAGACTCTTATATTGATAAAATTTTCATCTATGCAGGTTATATTATATATCTCTTTTTGCTCTGAATCTATTATTGATAACGAAATGTACAATAAATCAAGCAACATATGTATACATTGATCCTTTGATAATATGCTGAAATTAAAGTATATTATCTTATTATATCTTTTATCAATACTACCATCTATTAGAAATCGTAATACTTGCAAACAATTATCACAGCGTATAAAATCCAGTTCTATATTTTTTTTATTTGAATGAGGGATAATAGCCTTGAAAAGTCTATACACCATTTCCTTTATAGCAACTTAAATATTCACTAAAGTTGTAAAATTCTGTGCATGCATAATAAAATGACGTAATATATGAAAATTCATTAATTGACTAATATTAAAAAAAACCTAAAAAAGATTAAATTGTCTGAAAAATAATTACTAAACTATCAATATTAAATTTTCGATTACCTTTGCAACTAGTCTAGACTATAGTATTATACTTTGTTAAAGATTGTTATAATCAACATCAGAAAATTTTTTGTGAAATATCAGAAATACCATCTAAGAAAAATAAACTCATAAACCTAACAATTTATCTAGAACCTGACTTTTCATTATTGTACATGTTTCAATCACGTATTTGACAAATATTTTATTTAGTATCATAGTATATAATGCCTGATTAATGAAAAATAACATAATCATACTTAGATAAAGATAATTAAAAAAAGTATGAGCCTAAATAGGTAATTGGATTTTGTTGTTGAAACTAATATAAAAGAAATTCGAAGTTATGCCAAACTTTCAAAAATTCAGTCTCTCCTTTTGGGGATAAGATTTCAAATGTTGATTGAAGCATTATTTAGCAAGACCACCCATACAATAAAAAGTATCATGCGGACATTGAAGATGATAATCACATATAACATTATCAAAGATAAGGAGTTTTTTTCATATATTGTATTGCATAACAAGTGCATCATGTTATGCTTGAGTCTGAACAATCCTTATAGTAGAAAATTGCAATGTAGTTTTGTGATGGTAATGATTATATTTTGTAATATCAAAACTAACATTATTCAATTCGCTATAATAAATTATATAGTTACAGTATCCATGATGTGCATTGTGATTATTTACTCCCGCCTGTTTATTACCTTCTGGTAAGTCATTAGTAATGACACCTAATCCACCAGTAACCTATACAGTTTAATTACCAATTTTTAATTTGTATTCACATTTGAGATCCTGAATATTATTAATAAGTAATTAGAGTACTTCATCACTCATTACTACAAATGGGATAAAACTAAGAAAAAAGTGATTTTTAAGCTTTTGACAAAACGTTTATTTTATATTACTGATTTATAAGTAGAAGCTACTGATAGCGTGATATGCAGTATGAAACAGATCAAATTTATCAATATAAATATCAAGAAAAAATTTGAATATCGGCAAATTATGCAAATTATCTCAAATCGTGATATATTCAATGGGATAAAGATATCATAAATCAATTGACCTTGTAGTCTACTGCATATTTACACAATACACAATTTCAGATATAACGTATTAATAGTTATTAGGCTTGTTAACATCAATTAACCAAATATCAACTTTGGACTTAATCTTTGTAGGATTTATGACAAGCATTTCATCAGTCATCCACAGATATCCTTTATGAGAAGTAATTCTTCTTTATTAGGATTTGAGCATAGGAGATAATGAATTAAATTCAAGAATATATTCAATCTTGATACATCTATATTGAGATTTATCAACGCATAAGATTGATATAATTTGCCTATAACATGTTCGTTAGCTTGTGTTATAATATGTGATAAAATCATCAAGACTATATATTACTATTTTCATATTAACAATATGATTAATAAATAAATTAATATAATAGCATATAGATTTTAAATTAAAAAATAATATTATATTTACTTTTATTTAGTTTTATGTATACACTACCAAATAATGAGAATTTGTGTCAGAGATCTCTATGCCATAATTCATGTTTATTCTCACAGTACATATCTGGACTAAAATACATATTCTTACGTAATAATAGATTTACTAATATATAATGAAGAATGTTCTTTAAAGAAAAATTTAAAGTACTACAGGTAGGTTTAGAAGTAGAAGGCGTATTGCGATTGTTGAGAGTGACTTTGTGACCTTTAAATAGAAGAAGTGGTAAGCTATCACAATACTTTTTAATAGTTACAAGTGAATATGAAATATCATCTGAATTAAACTCAGAAAGTTTGATGATATTTACAAAGTCTTTATATGCTTTGAAGCCTATTTGATGTTTTGTAATCTATAAAAATATTCGAAATGTAGTAAGATTTGGAAAATATGGTCTGGTATTTTCAGTGTAATAATTATATTTCTTATTGCCATTATACTCTCTTCTAATAGACTCTTCATCGGTATCTTAGTTATTGCTAGAACTGTTATTGTATGGTTTATCATTTATGGAGGATTGGTAATCATTTAGAGAGAAATCATTTGAATAGAAGTTATTTGGAGAGAAGTCATTATTTAAAGAGAGGTTGATTAGAGAGAATTCATCATATTTATTTGAAAAAAGTCATTTAGAGAGAAATCATCATTTAGGTGTATCTAAGGTGACAAAGTCTTCTTTTCTTCGAATATATAGTTCATAGTGTTGACTTTGGTATTTGTAAAAAAAGAGGTTATATCATCTAAAACAATACTATTGAGTTTTAGATTTGTAGAACTTTTCATACAAGTGTGTTTAAGTTTATGCAAACAAAAATCAAATTCTTGATATTGTTTGCAATCAGCTCTGATCTGCTTTAAATTCATATTAAGAAGAAAATTTAAAAATTTGAGAAAGAAGTTTAGCGAACTTATTTTTTTTCTTGATATTGTTGGCTAAAAAACTTATATTTGGCATTGATCATCATCACTAAATCAAGCTTAAATTTAGTTTGACTAAATTGAGCTTATAAAATTGGCTTATATATCACAGGATGATCTACTAAGAATTAACGTCATATTACATAATTACATATGATAAAAATATATATATATATATAATACATTTTTTAACTTTATTTTTTTTTTCAATTTTATTTTTTCTTATTTTTTTTCTTTTAATATGCCTTATAAAAAAAATCCATCCCAAAACATTCTAAAATGTGGGTTACTAAATCTAAACTTAATTCTAAAACTGGTAAAACTCTTCAACTACGTCTACAACAATTTCAAAATTTAGCATGATTATTGAAGACGCTGATTTAGAGAACACAACTATTGAAGATATCAATTCGGAAGAAATGTTTAAACCAAAAATCAAAAGCTCAGAAAAAAGAGCAGATATATTGTAATAGTGAGAATGATTCAACAACTCATACAATAAGAGAATTAATTAATAGCAATAATTTACAGCAAACAAAGATCTACATGAACTTGACAATTTTAACAATAATATTTCAAATATAGGTTCTTTTGATTCTTTGATCTCGCTAAATAAATACAGTTAAACCTCTATATACTGATATCGTATATACCAATAATTGCTTGTATCGATAAATTTTTCATGTCCCATTTCATAATTAATAAAAAAACCTTGTTATACCAATATTACATATAGTTTTACAATGTAACATGTACTGATATTTCTCTTTGTCCCCTTATAATTAATATATAGTAATATATACTGATATTTTAGGTTATACCAACATATAATTTTACTTAATATATTGTAATGCATTTTTATTTGCATTGGAAAATCATGTCTCAACTACAAGTAAAAAGAAAATCAACCTAAGATACTTCTCAAACAAAGAAAAGAGTTGTTTTAACACACGCACAAAAAAGACAACTCTGTTTAGATTATCAAAAAATGCTACGACTTACTCAAGAAGAACTTGCCACTTTATATAAAATTAAACAAAATACTATTTCAGATATTTTAAAAAAGAAAGAAAAGTGACTGAGTATAGATCCAGACTCAAAAGAGTCAAATAAACAGAGAGAAAAGCCTGTTTGTTTTCCTCAAATAGAAGAGGCTCTTTCATTATGGACAACTAATGCACTTACTATAGATCTTATTATTAATACTGATATTTTATGTGAAAAAGTTAAATTTTTTGCATAGCGGTTTGAAGTTGATAATTTCACAGCTTCTAATGGATGGATTAATAGATTTAAAGAACATCACAATTTAAAGCAATATGTTAAATGGGGTGAAGCAAAAGTACACTATTGGAAACATTAGATGAGGAAAGGAAAAATTTACGTGAAATTATTGAAGATTATAATTTAGAAGATGTTTTTAACTGTAATGAAACAGGTAATTCTAATTTTTTTTTAAAAAAAAATAATTAAATAATATTCTAATATTTTTTGTTTATTTTAGGATTGTATTAGGATCTTGAGCCAATAAAAACATTTGTGCAAGGTCTACTTTCTGAAAAAAAAAATTCAAAAAACATGTAACGCTTCTACTTACATGTAATGCAACTGGCACTGAAAAATTGAAGCTACTTTTTATCTATAAATATCAGAATCCATGAATATTAAAAAGGAAGACTTATCAGTTGATTATTATTGGAATTCAACTGCCTGGATGTAGGTTTCAATATAGAATGATTATCTTGAAAAATTGGATAGACAGATGCGATTGCAAAATCGCCACATTCTTTTGCTAATTGATAATATACCAGTACATATCATAGACGAAAATATAAATTTAACGAACATGGCTGTACACTTTTTGCCATCAAACACTATTACACATTTACAGCTTTGTAATGCAGGAATAATTAAATCTTATAAAGTCAGTAAGTTTTTTAATATTTTTATTAATTTAAAACAGCAAAAAAATTTAAATTCAAATTATACTAATTATATAATTTCTTAATAATTTAGGTATAATATCGAAAATTACTCATTAGAAATAGGATTGAGGCACAAGAATTGAGAAAAGGGACCATTCTACTAAACATTTATGATGCTATTAATTTTAGCAAAAGTGCTTGGAATTCTGTAAGTCAGCAAACAATTTTTAATTGTTGGCAACATACAGGAATTTTCCACAAGATGAAATGAATAATGATGAAATTGAGGATTATGATAATCAAGCAATTCGTAATGAAATAGAGATACAAGAGCTAATTTACCAACTTCCATATGATGATTTTATGGATGTAACAGATTTTCTTCATATTGATGACAACTTAAAAGGTAGTGAAGGATTAAGTGATAAAGAAATTGTGTTAATGGTAAAATCTAAGAATAATGAACCAGAAATAGATTCTAATGAAGGATCTTTAGAAGTAATTTCAAACAAAGAAGCCTTAGGTTATTTGAATGATCTTGTTTTATTTTTTAAATATACATCAAAAACTTCTATTAATTCAGATGAATTGAATATCTTGAAGAAATTAAGACGCTGGGTATTGACATCATATATTAATAACGCAAAGTAAACTATATTAGATAGTTTTATTCAATAACAAATAATATATACAGATATAATAATAATATAATACATGTAAATATAATAATAATAAATTTTAATCGTTTAATATGATAATTAGCATATACCGATATTTGATCAACATAATATAATAATATCAGTATATAAAATTTTTATAGTATACTGATAATTCTGTGTACTGATACATTTTCTTAAAACAGGAGTATTAGTACATAGAGGTTCGACTGTATATAAAGCTGAATGATGGAAAAAATATAATAATATTAGTTTATGTGAGTTTTACAAATGATAATATAAATTGACATAACAAAATTTTATAGAATCTACTAAAGAACATAACTAGGAATTACCTTTACGTAAAACCTCTATATCTCAAGTAAAACCATTATTCGCTAATATTTATGAATTGGAATCAATTGATAATACCAATAATACTACAACACGATCGGTCTCTTCTACAGATGAACAAAACACAGCATCTATAGTTTACATTATACTATAATCAGTCTCTTCTATGAATGAATAAAATATGGCATTTATGGCATACATTACACCATGATCAGTTTCTTTCACGGATAAACTAAATATGACATCTACAACATTTATAGATTGCATCAATTTTAATAATTTAGCACTAATGTTTACTGCATTTGTTTAAGCGATGAAATCAGGTACACTTTTACCAAATACAGGATAAATAGGATACTTTATTTTCTGGCTTCAAATTTATGAGAAGGCTGGCTTCTGATGCATGCACTTCTGATAATTGTCATGGCTCATACCCAGTTTCTTTTTTATATTTTTTGTA